CATCCTGCGTAGAGCTAAGGCTGCTCTCCTTGAAGCACTCTATGAGACCAGATATCACGTCGTTCTTAAGGCAGAACCCTCTGCTTCCCTTTGAGAACTTCGTTTGCCCCCTAATAGAGTTAAGAACTCCTATAGCGGCATAAAGGAAAGATTGATATATATCCAGGGCGCAAGCGGTAGAGATGGAGTAGCTAAGAGGAAGAGGTATGGTTGAGGCAAACGCCTCCGTCGATAAGCCACCAAAAGTTGGCAATGCTTCGAATTGCCAACTGAAAAGTCGTAATAGTAGCTGGCTTAGATAAGAAGATGATAAGCTGGTTCTTGCGGACGTTTTGCAAATCGCCCTATCCTTCATCTCCCATAAAGAATCTGGGCTGCGTTCCACGCAATCTGTCCCGACCATTAACTTCTTTAGCTCTAATAAAGGAAAGTCATCAGTCTAAAATTGCATGTTAATCTTTGCAAGTTCCAATTCTTCTGGGGTGGCTCCAATGGCCACAATTCGAAAGGCTGGTACTTCTGACGCCTTTGACACTTTGAACTTGAATTTATCGTCCGTCTCCATTTGAGGATCTGAGATTATCGACCATATCCATAGGCCTATTATAGCTTCAAGATGTTGCTGGACTGCATCCCATGCTATTGGCCTTCTGCTGTCCCTCTGAAGCGGCAGCTGAAGCGAGACTCCTTCGCGGCGAGGCTGGGACGCTGTGTGATTCTGGTCTATCGCATAAAAGGTCCAGGAAAGGAATTCTTCGTCCAAGGCAGGGAGAAGCCTCACACTAGACTTAATTGCCCTCTTTAACTGTTGAGTCAGCTGTCGCACAGGTACTAGACGATCATCCTATGCAGTTGATGACTTTACTTTGGTGAGCCTCAACTGGCTGGTTAATTCTGCTAACTGGGATCAGTAATAAAACGCCTTTGCGACCGCGCCTAGTCCTGTGGCGTTACTGCTGCTGCTTCTGTTGGCTTCTTCATTATCTTCATGCTTATCCGTAGGACTAGTGATGACCCAGCTGAAATCTTTGCCAGACTTTCCTTTACCTATTTGCAAGGCTAGCCAGTCTAATTCATAGCCTTCTACTTCGTCAGGGCGATTATACAGGCGGTTATCTTCCTTGCGCAAGCGTTATGTTCTGAGCCCTGCGCGGATGATGCTAACGATCAGAATGGCTCCAAGCTGGAGAACAGACACAGCTGAGTGCATCGCTCTCAGCCTGACAAACTGGAGGACGAAGCCGAACAGGGTTGTGACTGTAGCAAGCCAGACTCCTAGTTCACTACCAGATTGTTGGGGTGTTTTCTATGACGTGATATACTGGTTTAATGGAGATGCAGAGTCGTCAAATAAGAATAGGTCGAAAGTTTGGTCGCTGATGACCTGGTTTCCTGGCTGAACCACATAGATGGTTGAAGTAGGCGAACTTATGTTTTGATTTCCTTCTTTGTTGTTGTTGTTAGCCTTGCGAAACACTCTCTCCTTAGTGCTGTTTTCCACTAAGAACGCGCAGTAGAACATTCCGCCGCACAGAAGTATGGTTCCAAGCGACATTAAGGGAAACGCCCAAGCAGGAGGAATAGCTTCTTCCTTTTTCCAGGCCTATGATATGATAAGACCCCTAAACACCAAGACTGACACCTATGCGAGAAATGCAATTGCGGCGGCAAGCTAGTGGAAGTATTCAGGCAGCTTTCTTATCCCTATATTGAAGGAGAGGTTAGGATTTAGGGCAAAGTCGTCTTTATCAGTGCTGTCGTTAGAGGCAAGCTGATGCTTTTCCGGATCACAGCAGGACTGCTTCCTAATCTCCCCCCATCCCGCCCTCGTAGCGGAGGGAGTTTTAACGTATTCCCAGAAGGAGTAAATACCACAATTGGATGGTGTTTAGCAGCCCCCAGTAAACTCTTCATTAGCTGCGTCGCGATCATATATAACCTCGAGGATCTTAGGGCGTCTGAATACCTGGACGATAGCGCTGTTATGATAGAGCTTGCAGATATTGCAGCTGGTGGACGAGCATAACTCTGCCTCAGTAATCCCCCCTCCCTCTTGCGCCCAGCCGATAAAGGCACGCAAGGAGTATCCGCCGCATATGCAGATCGCAGACATAACCGCTGTGATGACGCCTAAGGGTGCTATTGCGAAAATGAAGTTGTCCCATATCGTCGTCAACTCGCTCAGGAACTGCTTTATGATCTGTTCACCAAACAGGGCCAGAATAGGCGTAAGGTCTGTGGCCAAATTGTTGGAGAAGTCGTCTCACCTATCTGCCTGCGTGGTTCCAGTAGCGCAGATCAGTAGGAACAGGCAGAGATAGGCCGCACTGAGATGCTGCATGGTTGCTGAGCCGAAAGGCTGTTTGGAAAACACTAGTATGGTGAGGATTTTTTTGCTTTATTTAGGTAAGAGTGATGATGGTCTGAAAACTCCGTCTGATATGAGTGTACTCTGGTAGTTTTGTATTAATCTGGAGTGACCCTGATAAGCTACATGGGAAGCGACGCTGCTCTCCTAAGGCTTCAGTGGGTATCAAGGGTAAGCATATATACACAGGAGTACTTTTGTCCTACAAAGTGAGCACACCGCACTCGCATAGAATCACATCAAGCAGCAAGAAGAGCTAGGTCCCATTCATAGTGGATACTTCCCCTCTTCTCAGTACAGACTGGACGCCACCAACAGTTCCACAATTAGCCGCCAAGATTGGTGACAGAACTATATAAGTACTCAGAATAGCCTCATATAAATGAGAAGTCCTCTCTTTTATACACTTGGCTCAACGGTACAGTGTTACGGTCAGCTATCCGACAGTAGGGTCTGCTAACAGAAGCTGGGGATTGATACGTTCTAACAGTATACTGGGTCGTGGTCGTAGGTCGTAGTTCGTAGGCTGTAGTAGATCGGTTCTTCAGAGGCCAAGGTGATCAGTCTTAGACTCAATAAGTGATTCGCAGTGAAGGTAAGCTGAGAGTATCTGTGAGGATGAATACTAAGTTGATTGCTGAAGAGCTATGGAAGTCTGACCATGAGCCAGGCTCAGGGTCATTATATATAAGTCTAATTCTGAACATGTTCCTTTGTACCTTGGGTCGATCTGGATCATTCCGATCCAGAATGATCGTTTGGCCCCCAAGTCGTGTTGGATCATATTGATCCAATATGATCGTTATCTTATCATCACGTGACTTGGACCATAGTTCTTCCGTTACCGAGTGAGTTCCTGTTGTTCCTGTGATCCTGCAGTACAAATGTCCTGTCCTAGTCGCCCGACGCCCAAGTGGGTCGGTCAACTGTTATCCATGCATAACGGGTCGTAACATACAGTTCCAAGTTCTAACAATCGGGCTATCGCAGCTAGCTTTATAGGCGTTGACGGATTCCCAGCCTTAGCTGTGACTTGCGCAGTAAGTGAAGGCGCAGCGCAAATAACCAGAGGGAAAGATGCAGAAAGTACGGAAGAGTCCAGGTGGACTGCAACACGAGGCATGCAGAGTAGACATGATTAGCTCCCGTTCCGTTGTATGGACCGGCTGACTGCAGCCAATTCTCGGCATAGTGCAGACCGGTGTGGAGTTAAGGCCGCCACTAGTGCGAGTTGCCAACACAGCGTCTACGCAAGGGCCAATCAAGATTGCAATACTCACCGTGCATATCATACTGCGCTCTGCCCGATTATTACATGCAAAGACGTCTGACCGCAAGCCTTACTTACGACAGCATGGTCTGAAAATAAGCTTGGCTGCATCATATCCCATCGAGTGCTGATGGACCCCATTTTCGACAACGGCGGGGTAGTGTCAAGAGCCCAGCCCTGGTGAGGCCACGTAGGGGTGATTTCTGTGTATAGAATCTAAGCTGAAGGGGAAGAGATTTCTAAAGCGGGGCTCCTACGGGCAAGAGCGTTGAGTAGGGACCCACACGGCAATGGCGCGGTGAGGAAGGGCGGAATTCGGACACTAGCCCGGATCCACCATCCCGTAAAAGGTAGAGCCAATAAGGGCCTAGGAATCCTTTGAGAATGCAGAAAAAGGGACTTCGGGTATATGCACACGACTGAAACAGAAGGTCTATCGAATCGATTTTTGGACCCTGCCTCGGCACTCAGCAGTCGTTCTCGCCTTAACGCCTACTGCCATTGATACCAAACAACATGGTTAGATCGCTCACGCCGTTATCGTAAAGGGCGCCAAACAGCTTATGCTAAGTTTGATCGCTAAAAACCTGGGGTAGTCGTTCTTATACCCGTCAAATAAGCGCCTCCCGGCCAGGCAGCTGGGCTCTCGGGCTGGGAATAAGAAAAACGGAGGTGGCCCTGTCACTGAACGGCGCGCCCGAACGGAGAAGAATTTGGGCCCGCACTCCCGTTTTTACGGATGAGTCAACATCCCAGCCTCCTTCTGATAGGCCAGCCTTAGCTATGGCCGCCCAGCTTCATGAGGTTGAGGTATGCCACCATCGCCAAGAGACGACGAGGGTCCTAAGCTACAGAACACAGTTCACACACACTGAACCAGTCAACCCCACCGGTGATGGTGATACAAGCACACCTAGATAGCTAAGCGACGCACACCACCACCACCACCACTACTGCCTAGCACTCAGCGTCTCCCTTTTTCAATTTACGTTTTTTGAGAACCCGATCCCAGTGAGTGCTCCAACCAGGAAAAAGCAAATCTTTCTTTTAGTTACCCTCGCGAGTCCCCATCCATGCTCAAATCGGTCCTTCATCGTGTTCTGCTTGCCAAGGCCAAGGCTCGCACGTTGTGCGAATTAGCAGTAACTAGCAGTAGTTCGCAGTTATATCTCTTGAACGATAGCGCTGCACTCCACTATCTCACTGAGCGAGGACGCTGCGCAGTTAGCCTACAATACACTGAATAGGCATTGCAGCAGTATGCAAACCTTCTATTGTTCACAACGGAATCATTTCTAAACCCTTGATGGTGACTAAAATATACTAGTGTCTAGCTCCCACTAATTAGGTAGCGCCTGATCATCACCTAATGTTTAGATTATTTCCGACGGAGAAATTGCCGGAGCCAGAATGTTGGATGCCAGTGCCGTGGAAACTAGCGACCGACTTGTCGCGACTTATCGCCACGTCTGTGGACGGTGCCGACATAACAGACACGGCAGGAACCACCGTCGGGTCTACATAGGTAAGCAGCTCTTTGGTGCACGCAGCGGCAGTTGCAGCCGCGTAGTGCTGCCAGTCGTCATTCTTGTGAGAGTCGGCGTAGTCAGAGATGCCGCGAATGACGATACAGGGGAACTCGGTCATCAGCCCGGCCGCCTCCATCTCGAAGCACAGCACGTCGCCCAGGTTGCGAATGATCTCGTCTCTCTTGACAATACTCCTCACGACGCGATCGCCGGAAGCAACCAGTCCGTAGTGTATCTCGGGCCCCTCGGAATCGCGAGGAGTCCTGCGAACACGTTTTTGTCCGTCGCATGTCTCGCATGTGGTTTTTATGGGGTCGTGAGAATAGTCCGCTTCGAACAGAACATCAAGACTGCTGGGTGGCCGCTGGTAGACGGACAAGCGACGTCCCTTCCGTAGCATTGCTGACAAGAACTCCTCAGCCTTGTTTTCGCTAAGGAAATGGTCCAACCGCATCTTCACGACAGCACTCCTCAAGAGAGGAGGCGGCGGCGAGAGAAACCCCTTCAGCACGAAGCCAGCCTCCGTTTCCCTTCCCAGATCGTATTGGACGACGCCGCCGTATTGACCCTCGGGCATGCTCACCACGACGTCGCCTAGACGGATGTCGTGCTTTTTGCTGGGAACCCCTCCGCCAATACCGACGAAGAACCGCCACTTGATAGAAGGAAAGGTGCGGGCCATGTTCGTGGCTACCGTCGCCGCCGCGCCTTTCCCTTGACTTCCGGGGAGGCACGCGAGCACCACGTCGTGGCCACTGAGCTCACCCAGGACGTATATGTTCGAATCGCCTTCCTTTGTCGCTAGTCTGGGGTGTTCTCGGTCGAGCATACATCGGACGGCGCTCATTTCGAAGTCGATAGCGCACACTACTGCGACGGTATAACTTTCGTAAGTCGTTGGCCCGTCCTGCATCGTGATACTATTAATGGGGGTGAGGTTGATGGAGTTACGAATGCAGAACCGTCAGAGAGAAACAAATGAGAAGATAGGAATTTTTTTTTTGAGAGGAAGAGGCGTAAGCTGTTGACCATGGGAGCAGACCGTATGCCTTGTGGTGAGGGACAGCACCTGCATCTCCCAACGCCCCGCATCCACACATGTCTGTGGTCTGGTTGGCCCGCTAGCCGCTGCTCAGCCTGATTTCCTTTTTCCAAAGAACTGTCACTGCTGCCTGATTTATCGTCATTCATCATTCCGCCGGCTTCTTGACGACGATAGTACCAACCGACGACTTTATACAGTAGTCTCCGATGTGGTTGAGGAAGAGATACACCTAGTGCGGCAAATCAAAGAATTCCACCGTTCCAAATGGCGGCAGCTGGATCTGGTGCTGGCCGACCAAGCCCTGGTGCGCGGTCGGAGTTCAGTGGCACCGGCATCCAGCACTCAGGCTCTGGAAACTGGCACGTCAATGGGGATGTAAATATCGGTACGACTATGTAAAACTTCACTAGGATTACTACTGACAAATTGAACAGGCGTTCGTGATCAATCTGATCAAGACTCGCGATTTCTGGCCGACCTGCAAGTCACCAACCCACGCCACGACAAGAAGCGCATCCAGGTGACCAAGGGCGGTTTATTAAAGGACTCCTACGTCTGGGTGCTTAAAAACTCCAACTTCTGCAAATGGCGTGACGACCAGGACCAGCGACTGCTCTGGGTCAAGGGCGACCCAGGCAAGGGCAAGACTATGCTCCTATGCGGCATTATCGACGAGCTGGAAAAACCACACGCTCAGGGGAAACTCTTGTCCTACTTCTTCTGTCAAGCTACTGACAAGCGACTTAATACAGCGACGGCGGTACTACGCGGCTTGACCTTCATGCTTCTCGACCAACACCCGTCCCTTGTTTCGCATATGAAGAAGTATAAGAAAGTTGGGAAGGCATTTTTTGAAGACGTGAATGCATGGTATGCGATGTCTGAGATCTTCACAAACATGCTCCATGATCCGAAGCTACAAGGCGTCTACCTCCTTATTGATGCATTGGACGAGTGTACAACGGGTCTCGATCAATTACTCTGCCTGATTGCAGAAACATCGGAATCAACCGATGTGAAATGGCTCGTATCGAGTCGTAACTGGCAGCAGGTTGAAGAACAGCTACGCCCCGTAGCACAGAGGCTATCACTAGAGGTTAATGCGAAGTCTATCTCGGCAGCTGTGGATATCTATATCCAACACAAGGTGAACAAGCTTGCTGAAGAGAAGGGACATAGCTCCAAGACAAGGAACACAGTGCTTCGTTACCTTTCCAGTCATGCGGGCGGCACCTTCCTCTGGGCGGCCTTGGTCTGCCAAGAACTCAAGAAAGTGCCCGAACTTGAAGTTCGAAAAAGAGTCAAGACATTTCCTCCAGGGCTTGATACTCTCTATCAGCGAATGATGCAGCAGATCTGCGACTCTACCATCTCTGAGAAATGCAAGCAATTTCTTGCTATAACTGCAGTGGTCTACCGCCCGCTCTCACTCGTAGAGTATGGATCGATCTACGACCTATCAAGCGACGCCGACTCAGCCGATAGTGAAGGGGAAGACGACGACTCTGAATACACTAGCTGGGAACAGAGCAAGTCCAATCTTGCGAAGCTAGTGAAGGAGTTAGTTAGCTACTGCGGCTCTTTTCTCACCATTCGCGAAGATATAGTCTACTTTGTCCACCAGTCGGCCAAGGATTTCCTGATGAACGAGGCATACCCAGCATTTCGCCAGATTTTACCTTCTGGCATTGCACACCAGCACCACGCTATCTTCTCAAGGTCTCTGGACGTGTTATCCAGCACACTCAGACGCGACATCTATAAGCTGCGCAACCCCGGAAGCTACATAGAGGATATACCACCACCTAACCTGGGCCCTTTGGCTTCTCTGAAGTACTCGTCTACCCACTGGGTTGATCATCTCGAGCACTCGAATCCTGCAGACAGCCTGACATGCGTTGATTTAAAGGACAACAACAGCGTTCACACTTTCCTCAAATGTCACTATCTCCACTGGCTAGAGGCTCAGAGTCTTCTGAAAGGCATGCCACAAGCAGTAGTAACAATGCAGAAACTCCAAGCATTAATTGTAAGTCTAATAGAACTATATCTTAGGATACCCCTAATAGTTATTTAGGGAAGTATGGAAACACAACTTGCAGAACTCGTTCAAGATGCCTGTCGATTTGTTCTTTCCTATAAACAATGCGCAGAAAGCTTTCCGCTGCAACTTTACACAGCTGCTCTTTTATTCAGCCCTACCCGCAGCTTGACAAGGCAACTGTTTCAAGCAGAGGCACCATCCTGGATTACTGTACTTACAGAGGTAGACGCAGACTGGAACGCGTGTCTGCAGACGCTGGAGGGCCATAGCAGCTCCGTCAACTCGGTGGCCTTCTCTCCCGATGGGCGGCAGCTGGCGTCAGCCTCCTCCGACACCACCGTCAAGCTCTGGGACGCAGCCACAGGCCAGTGCCAGCGGACGCTGGAGGGCCATAGCAGCTCCGTCAACTCGGTGGCCTTCTCTCCCGATGGGCGGCAGCTGGCGTCAGCCTCCTCCGACACCACCGTCAAGCTCTGGGACGCAGCCACGGGCCAGTGCCAGCGGACGCTGGAGGGCCATAGCAGCTACGTCAACTCGGTGGCCTTCTCTCCCGATGGGCGGCAGCTGGCGTCAGCCTCCGACGACACCACCGTCAAGCTCTGGGACGCAGCCACAGGCCAGTGCCAGCGGACGCTGGAGGGCCATAGCAGCTTAGGAAATGTATTCGCGAAAACAATTCAAGAACCAAATCAAGGTTTCAACGATCAGAGTCAGATGCTCTCACAGCAGGGCGTGTGGATCACGAATAATTCGCAAAGCATCCTTTGGCTACCTCCAGAATATCGTGCGGTATGTCATACAGTCGATAGGTCAAGAATAGTTATTGGATGTCAATCGGGCCGCGTATTACTTCTGCAGGTTACGTCAGAGAGTTAATAGGTGTTACCTATTGCGTTCTTTAACTACGTCTTTCCTCTGCTAGGTGCAGCTGTGTACATATTTTCTCTCACTAATGCGTGACACCAGAAGGGTCAGGGAGGAAGTGTTCTTTTATTTTACAATTATACCACTGGAGAACGTTCTCGTACCGTCTCGTACTTTAGCCTGTGTTCAAAAGGGTGCTGCGATGACCTAATGTACCTACATGTCTTCAGGTACGGTGGGGACCCACTTATCCGAGTGCCAGTGCACCGGCTGCTCCTGCTGCTAATGGCTTACTCGGTGTGTAGCTCTAAAGCCCGACCTGATTTTATAGGTCGCGGTGTGCGCACTGCATGGCTAGCAATTCAGTCGCATCACTGGGCGGGACCAACTCATCAATACACAGTGGCGATGGGGGGAGAAGACGCAGCGTAAGTATCCATGGACAGGTCTCTGCGGTTGCTGCTGGGGCGCTGCAGCTGGAACAGGCTGCTACCAGTAAAGCGACCAGAGACTGATTAGGCTGTGACCCAAGCAGCATTCAATTCAGTGAAGCAAAAATTACAGCACATTAGCATTCCTCTAATTGGTACCAGCGGGGTCTGGTGGTAGCCATCCTTAGTGGTAACAGCGCTGAGATACACTGTAGCTCAGAAAGATATAGGGCCTTAAGGTTACTAGCAACAGGCCGTCTCCTCTCTGTGGCCTGTATTTGAACAAATGCGAAGTTACCAGCACACGGTCTTAAGCACCGCTTACCTTGCCGGCAATAGCACCTCAGCACCCTAGGGCCCGGAAACCGTCTAGTTACTAGCATAGGGTCTCAGGAGCCAGCCAGGTTACCAGTAGGAGGATATCGCCTTAAGGGGTGCTACCAGTCAAGCGACTAATGACTTGCCATTATGACGGTAAAGACAGAGAACGTATTCCGCGTTCTTAGCAGTCGGACCAACACTGATTGCTGTTGCTGTCAGTGTTTGACTCGCACATTGGTGGTGCCAGGTTACTGGCAAGGCCGGTATTTGCAGCGCCAATTTCGAATCCGGCGTTGGGCGGAAATTTGTGGGGCTCTAGGCGCCGTGAAGTAGCCGGCAGCCGGAGAAGGGGCCGTAAGCCGGCCGGCGCTTATGGACCGGCAATGCCCGGTCCCGTCGGTTATTCGGCGCTTACATCCTCACTGACGCAGCTTGGACTTTTCCTCAAACTAGATTCCAAAATCTAAAAAAACATCCAAATATGATGCTACCCCACGCAGACCTATATTCCTTCGTGAACAGGTCTTCGTGAAACAAGGTGTTAAAATGGACGCGAGGATCCCCCAACCGAAGAAGAAAAAAACGAAGGGTCACTAAATCAGAATATATCAGGACGCCCCCAAACCCTCAAGTGGTACCCCAGCGGTGCCCAGCGACCGCCTACGTAAAGAGAGCAAGAGAAAGGGGACTTTGTTTTCTCATCGGAAGAAGGCGTTCTTTCAGAAAGCAGATCGGATATTCCAAGACTGCGATGTAAAGGTCTATACATTCATTAAACGCAAAGGGCATATTTCTGATAACACCTTACCTAGGAGCTAGGCATCGTTAGTGAGCGCCCTTTCTTCACATATCAAATGCAGCTGCTTACACGACTAAGCGTAAGCAATACCTATTACCTATAGTTTGCACTCCAGGCAAGGATAACCATAAGGCGCGGGATGAGCTCCTAGATAAGTGTGAGCATGATATGTAATAGCATAATACGTAGTAGCATGATACGTTGTAACGAAAGGTTCATTCTGATGCCTTGACGGGTTTATTATACGGATAGATATAATATTATTATTATAATCTATCACCTTATTACTATATTCTCTGACTCTATGCTCTTTCCTTAACCCTTTGTGTGACCTCATCTTCAAATTGCCTCCTTTGACTAGACATTCAGGAGATATACGTACATATATCTGCAACTACTAGGAAGCTGTTTGTGTACCACATAAAATATGATCAGAAACATAATCCAATGAAATCCCATATCGACCGTTCTCAGAACCCTACGATGGTTCAAGACAGAAATAAGATGTAGAGATAGGGCAACTCAGATGGATTGTTATCATGAAAGGACTATCCTTATGGAAAGTGTATGCCAAATAGAGACCATACAGAGAGTAGGAGCAGTCAGAGACTGAAAGAGCTGAAGCGTATGGCAAGAGTGACCACCTCAGCAAGCAGGCTTTCACATCAGAGCACGTTTCCAGCATAACCAACAAACCAACTTCTGTCTAGGCTCTCGTCGACTTGCTCCAACTTTTTTTTCTTTTGCTGCTCTATGTCTGTCAGTATCCTCAGGCATCCTGAAAAGCTTTTATGCCCTGGCTCCAAATTTAGATTAGTGGAGATCCTTCCTATTCCAGGACAATAAATTAAGTCATGCCCCTGAAGTGTGCAGCGAGGAGGTTCAACTTGTGGTACTAAGTATACCCTGACAAGGGTGTTATTACCAGGCTTCGTGAGACCAACAATAAGGGCTCTCTCGCCAGGCCTAGATGCAGTTGAAATTGCCAAGTTGAAGTAAATATCTTATCATCCTATTTGCTCGCATCCCATTAGGGCAATCCTCTCTGTTATGTATGTGTCATTTTTATACTTCTGCAAGCATATACATCTCAAAATGTTAGGATAAGTCTGTTATACACCTCTATCAACGCAGCTGAGCTGATTGACGGGAAGGTCCTGGCGAGGATGTTCAATAATGTTCCCTTGAATTTATTCATGACGTTCTTAATAGTTACACACCAGAAAGGAGGTTCATTAGGTTTACCTAGACTAGGTAAAGGAAGGAAGAGGGAGCAGCGAGAAAAAGAAGGATGAGGAAGGGGGTGAAATGCTATACCTATGCACAGATATATATCAGACATCATAAATCTTGCGAAGCACTTAGGACGCACTGAGAGATCCCTCCTTAAATAACGAAGCTTCTGAATAAGGAATGCTCTTATCTCAAGGAACAAAGTTGCGTCTGCTTTTAGCCTATCTCATACTAGTTGTACGATCCTTTACCAACTGCATGCTGTGCCTTTTGATCAGGGAAAACCCACCTCTACTCCTTTGAAAGATGCTAAAATCTGCACCTAAAAGGGGGAAGGGGATACTGCAGGCTTCAGCTGGGACCTGTTACTTCCTAGCGGCAATAAAGGCTAGGAAGTGGAAAATTTATAATTCCCAGCATCTCCTGACATACCTATTATTAACTGATTCCTATGCAATATAGCAATGCTGTGTAGGCATCAACACCCACCCTGGATAACTGTCCTGAATCTATCTAATAATGAGATCCAGCCTCTTTGTAACTTACCCCTTTCTGGCTGATTTCCCATGGTCTTAAATATATAGTACACCTGAGGTAATTAAAGGATATTTATAAGCTTATTCTTTTAACGCTAAAACTTTTTCTTTCATTTATGCAAAGCTACTAAAGATCTGCATCTTATCCAGTTTATTATGTCTGCACAGAAGAGCTCTTTCGAGCTGACAGTGTCCAATATGGTTAATAGCATGATGTTACGGTCAGCTATCCGACGGTAGGGTCTGCTAACAGAAGCTGGGGATTGATACGTTCTAACAGTACACTAGGTCGTGGTCGTAGGTCGTAGGTCGTAGGCTGCAGTAGATCGGTTCTTCAGAGGCTAAGGTGATCAGTCTTAGACTTAATAAGTGATTCGCAGTGAAGGTAAGCTGAGAGTATCTGTGAGGATGAATACTAAGTTGATTGCTGAAGAGCTATGGAAGTCTGACTATAAGCCAGGCTCAGGGTCACACTATATATAAGTTCTAAACAGTTCCTCTTGTCCTGCTACTGATTCCTAACTAGGTATCAGTGAGCGCTCAGTGATTATGAGTAAGCGCTCAGTAATTACTGCTGAGCGCTTAGTGATCCACACCACCTGCTCAGTCTTATCTTATCGTTATGTGACTTATACTATAGTTCTTCCGTTCTAAGTGAGTCCCTGTTGTTCCTATAATCCTACAGAGTATAAATGTCCTGTTCTAGCCGCCTGATACCTAAGTGGGTCGTTCAACTGTTATCCTTATTTACAGGTTGTAACATCAGGTCCCCTCTCTAAAGGTCTTATCCTTAAGACCTAATATAAGTAGGTCGTTAGTCCTAGGTTGGGGTTCTGTTAATCGTGCTTCCTGATTTTATTTATGATGCTGACACTATGTCAGGTTGCGTTTAAAAATCGAAATTAAATTCTGCCTCTACTCTTCGTCGTCGCAATTATATGCTGCGTATTGCTGAGTTTGGTTTTGCTGTCGATATGCCTTATTCCTACTGTCGTTCTTTAGGTAAGCGTTATAAGTTACTTCCTGGTGGTGAAGTTTATAGCAAGTATACTCATCTAGGGCAGTCTTATAATACAGCGGCAGATGCTGTTTGCACTCGTATATTCTTCAAGCTTGTTATGCTTTATAGGCCTTGCTGACTGATCGTAGTCGATTGTTTGTTAGATGAGGCTGCTCGTCTGGAGGATGCAGAGGTGGCCGAAGAGGAGGTGTTGAGAAAGAAAGTTGCTGCTTTACGTGCGGCGTAGGATGAGCTGGATAAATCTATAGCGAAGTTAGATCGTTTGCGTAAGCAGAAGAGAATAGTGTTTCAGAAGGGCTGGGAGGTTACCAAGGAGGAGCTGGTGGTGTCACCTATATTGGAGGTTCAGTCTATAGGTGGTTTTGATGTGGTAGACCTAGATGCTGTCTTAGGTGATTAGAATCCTAGTACTCTGAATTTTCTGTTGGGGGAATCTTAGTTGTGTTCTGGCGTTCCTAGGCGAATAAATGGTTTCCCTTATTGCAGTCGATCGGCTTTAGTGGGTGGTCTGGTGAAGCGATATAGGTGTCTGATTCGTTTATATCCAGCATTCTTCTGGATTAATATAATAGGTGCTAGTGTGGCTCCTCATTCTTAGTGTTATTGCCAGTAGATTATGAGTTCTTCTGCTGCTTTAGTGATGTTTTTAGCTGGTTCCTATATATTATCTTTATATCTGTATCCTTTCTATTTGATGAGGTATTAATACCCTTCTGGTTCTTTAAGATAGTTAATAATTTATTTAACTTCATACTCTGGTTTGTTATCTTCTATAATAATAATATCATTTGTCTATAATCTGCGTAGTCCTAGTTTAAGGAGTGAGATTCAGAATACTAGGTGACACTTTATGGTTTCTAGGAGTTTGAGTTTGTAGTTGACTGGTGAAATTACTTGTGAAATTTTGAAAGGTCTAAGTTTTTTATAGTTGAGTTTGTCGTTTGGTCGCTTTATCTTAATATTTCGCCATATAAGATAGGCGCTATCTCCCTCTTTTAAGGTTGGTCCCTTAATTCTTTGTTGATTACTGAATTATGTTATTTGTTATCATATAAATTCAAGTTCTCTGCATGCGTTATTTTGGATATCCTTGATTTGTTGTACTGAGGCAACAGCTTTAACTGCAGCTGAGCCTGCTGAGGGTTCTCTATAGGCAGTAGGTTCAAATCTGTAGTTGAGTGTTACGGTCAGCTATCCGACAGTAGGGTCTGCTAACAGAAGCTGGGGATTGATACGTTCTAACAGTATACTGGTCGTGGTCGTAGGTCGTAGTTTGTAGGCTGTAGTAGATCGGTTCTTCAGAGGCCAAGGTGATCAGTCTTAGACTCAATAAGTGATTCGCAGTGAAGGTAAGCTGAGAGTATCTGTGAGGATGAATACTAAGTTGATTGCTGAAGAGCTATAGAAGTTTGACCATGAGCCAGGCTCAGGGTCATACTATATATAAGTCTAAGTAGTTTCTTTAAACTGAGGACTGATGTCTTCTGAGCGGTCCCCAGGTGTGGACCGCTTTCTTTATGTTAGTCCTAGGTCAGGACCGCTTATC